AATGTACTATTCAAGGGTGCCCGGGAGGGTGTCCACCACAAACACACAGGAGTAAAATTAGACCTAGTATAGAGGTCTAACTCGCAATTTCGACTCTGTCTGTCTGTAGAATCCGCCCGTTCACTTATTCGGCAGTAGTTTTTCTACTACAAGTCTACAGAACGCCGAGATAGTAGGATTTAGAGAGATTACGTACCCTTTCATTGGGTAAGACTTTTTACTCGCGACATTATACACCGCCTTGTCGTTGACGAGCCTATTTTGATTACTGAACTACAAAAAACATGTAAAAGTCCCTCTACATGACGTAGCTTCACGACGTCACACTAAACAGTAAGAGCAGTACGAAACGTTTCTCTCACCGTCTCTTAATGAATAGGACAAGATACGGGACCGTAAAAAAGTATTGGACGCCTCCCCTAAAAAAAATATCCTTTACAAAAGAAGTTCCACCAGGCCTCTATAAAACGAGTAACGTTTAACTGTCTCCAGAAAGTGAATACATAATTTAAAATTTAGGGAGGTCGAAACACTCCTTTTCTTACAAAGGATAAGAAAACGTTCAGTTAAAATGAAGGATTTTATCGATAAAGAAAAAGAAGATAAAGAGTTATGATTATTCGTACAACAAAACTGCAGATTACGGTTGCGGGGTGCACCTACCCAAGGGGACGTTCCGTACCGTTCAAATAGTACTTCGTACCAAAGTTGTGTTCCGTTAAGTACTAACAGGGAAATGTTTCAATTACATTCAAATTCTGATCCCGGAACGTGCTAAAACTCTTTTTTTAGATTAACGTTAAAAAGACTGTTTATAACGCAAAAATTCGCTGGGTTGGCCTTCAAGTAATATTTTAACGCCGGTATAAGCCGATCCTTCCAGATAGTTTGCACGAGCAGAGACGTGGGGCGTCGGCTCGATTTGCTCACTTCTTGATTTGAATGTACTGAAGCACCCACGAAATTTCAGTCGAAAGTCAATTCCAAGTGGGACATTATCTTGTAACACTCCTCTAATGATTGGACTGAGGTCTGCCAAACAAAGTGGTTTTGGTAGATCCTTTCGAGGTAACCTTCGGGTCATCTGAGCCGGCCCGGCTAAAATAACTGGATGGCCTACCTGCCTGTCAGCCTTCCATCTGTGCACAAACTTATCTCTTGCCCTCATTGGTGATGTGCGCGTCCGTGTGTGTTGGAGGAGGGGCTCTGTGAGGAAGTCTGAAGGAAGAGGCAGATTTTTTCCGGTTGTGTATTTTCAAATTCTAGCGCACTCGAGCTGGTTTCTCCATTCTTACCTACCCTACCTTTAAGGTACAATTCAATAAGGAACATACCAATTACTTTGTATTTGCCTAGAATGTAATTCATACATGAGTATAAACAAATAGGCTTTACAACATGGTTATTTAAAATAGGCTACTTAATGATTGACTGCCAGAAAGCATGCTGTATTGTGATTTACAGTACGTCTTAATCAACATATGAAACTATTTTTGAAATAGAAGATATTGCCCAGGCCTACTGTTGAACTTCACTGTTGTTTATACGGTTTAATGAACTTTCACCAACAGCACATCTTTTAGTTTCCAGTTTAAGATGGGCTCCCAATCATCTGGAGTTCTGTGACTGTGAGGAACGGCTGCATATATTAGGGCAGCAACAACATTACGTATGATAATGAGTGTTTCAAGTTTTCAAGGCTAAGCAGGAGAAGGTTATGAAATACCAAGACCCTCTCATCTGCAAATTAACACAAACACCATGTGCAGTGATTGAATTAAACTTATAAATTAGTCTGATTTACACTCTCCAAATGAGACTGGAGCATAATATGTTCTGGTGAGACTAAAGTCTAAATTATTCTGGGGGGGTTGTCCTAGTTGTGTAACAGATTGGTTACAAGAGACGTTTAACAAATGTCATTAAAAAGACCAACAATGTTTTAGTCTCAAAAAGCGTTGTGACTTCTTTACCCAGTCTGTGGCACGCCGATTCTTAGGACATACATTTTAAAAACAGCGTAGAAAACTTGATGGCGGTTAATAAATAGTAATGGCAGACTCATTTATTATTGAAGTATACTGTATACGGGCAACATACTGCAAAAAATATAATACAAAAATTATAATTATTCATCACAAGATGAAAGTTGTAAATTAAAGATCTGAGTCACCATTTTGCTTACTCACAAAGTTACGAGAGAACATTTTTTCGAGCAAGTTTACGACTTTAATCTCGTGAATTACGATTGTTTATTGTAGATTGTATTTATTAATACATATTTAGCGCTCCAGAGAGTGTTTGAAATTAACTACTGTAGCCAAATGTCTCTAAATGAAGGAACATGTTCCCCGAAGCACCAGCGTGACTCACTGATGTTTTTTTAATAGATCTTGGAGACAACAGAGGATTATTGCACAGATTCAGGTTCTAGCTTCACTGGCGGCCATTTCTTCAGGTTGATAGAACTTTTTCATAAAGCCCAAAATTACAAATGAACCACAGAGGAATTTCCAATCAGTCCACAAAACAACTCAATACTTGGAAACATTGCACATCCACTGCTAACTCTGGTGTCTCTTGGGATTCCTTCATAACACACAATATGACAGTCTCATGTTTTGTGCTGGTTGTATGAGGGTCCAATTCATGGGGTTCAGTTTATGTGAGTGTGACTTTAAATCTGGGTGGAGGGTTTATTGATATGTTATAAGTAGAGGGGATAAATAAATGAACGTCATTGAGATTGAGGAATCAGGAGAGGCCACTAGTAAGTGTGATTATTATATTGAATGTGATTTAAGTTGTATGGGATATGTGTGATCCCAATTGTTGTTGTCCTTTTTCTTTTAAGGTTAACAACCTATTTGGATTTGGATTAAATTATCAAAACTATGAGTTGTTTCCGTTCATCTAGATTTCACCCATACTGTCGGGAGATAGACAGTACACACCCTAAAAACATTAAGTTGTCAACCTACATGTCACCCACAACTACTTCGTAAAGTCTGACTCTCTTTCATTGTGCTGAAGACAAAGAGTAATCTAACATTAGTGAAATGGAAGTGTATGAGTAGTTGCGAGTCATTCGCACTCTAACCCGTCACTTAACATTTTACTGATTTGTACCCCCACGGTTGTATCTTACTCTTTTACGCTTTCGTCCCTGTGATAAAAGAAAGAGCAGGCAGACTAAATAAGAGTTAAACACAAAAGAGAACAAAAATACGAGGAAAACGGTTTTCGGTCACAACTCCCCCATTTGCAACAATCATATAGGTGAGCACACGGACAAGAGGGCGTCCACTTATAAGGTGAGTGACGTCAGTTAAAGCTGAAAAAATGTATAGCCGCAACGAATATAAAGGACGATCTCCCCTCTGGGCGTCTCACGTCTAAACCGGTGAGTGGTTTCTACGACGTCTACTACCACGGATACTTTCTCAACAATCTTTTTCAATAAAGACGAACTTTCACTTCAACCTTTACAAAACGGAGACAATTACCAAGTCCTCCACCTCGAGAAGGAGGAGACGGACCTCGAGAACAGGAAGTGGGGGTTAATGGAGCCCTATTTAGAACTTCTCAGACGACTCATCACTGGCGGAAAAAGAAGTCAGGACTCTAGTCCCTCTCCGTTCTTAGGCCCATGCTTCAGTTAGTGAGTCGACGTCCTATCCGACTCTTTACTTTAATGAGTAGAGGAGTTTTATAGTTCTATGTTTACATAACTACATCCTGCTGAATTGGAAATGTGTACTTCCTATGTTAGTTTATAAAGGAGACGATAGGTGTAGTTGGTCTCTCCGCGCTCTCTCCGCTCCTCTCGTGGAAGAGGAAGATGCATTGTAGTTTTACTTAGTGTTTATGTAGGTTTTATGGGCTTTATTGATTGATTCATTCATTTTATACGTCAGATGCGTTAAGGAAAGAAAGTCAATCGAAGAAAAGTAAATTGATTAGTCATCAAACGATACGTCCTAGTCAAATTAAATCCTTTAGATAATGGCATTAAAGGCCTGAATGATTCCGCGTGGACTTATATTCGGCGTCGTCGATTTAACTACTACACATGTATATATTTCCGTGACCTGATATTCAGGCGTCCACAAAATTACAAATTAATGGTATACATGTGTCCAAGGCACGTGTCTCCCCTAGTCAGCCTTTCCTCTACCGACAAACTGCCTTCGAGTGGTAAATAATTGTAAAGTTGTTTTGTATCAACGTATTAACGTATTGCATAAGTTCACAATGGTAAATCACGTTACATCGCATGTCTTGTACATGACACGGACACATTTGACATGACATAGTGTATCGCAAAGTCTGTGTTTGAAAAGTTGAAAGTTTGAATTTGCCACCCGCGAGGGCGCGTGCAGAGATGGCCGTCACTAGGATGTCGTCTACCAAACAGTTGGTCACCAGCCCCTGTTTGACGCGCAAGAGCGAGAGCAAGACAGAGAGCATGGTGAGAACCGAAGCGTGCAAGAGAACTGAAAACGCGGATTGGACAGGAGTGAGAAAAGGCCGGAGGTCGAAAAGGAGACCTCAGGCGGCGAATTTCCACCGGCGCCTGGCCGGTTAGCTCGGGTATCTGCAATTTCCACCCACCTGACATTGGCACATTTAGGTATCTAAATCCTCCAGGGATCACCGCAATCGACATGTTTAGGCTATCTATCGGCGTGGCAATATATTCGCGTCGCCAGCTTTTTACCCTTTTTTCCGCGCCCGAATATCGAGTCTTTTAAATGCCATTATGGGGTTCACACACGGAGAAGATGTTATAGTTTTGACGGTTGGTGGGAGAGCCCCAAAATAGAAGGACAAAACACCAATTTGTCCAAAACCAACCCGTACATTTTACCAGAGGTTTTTTCCATTTTAGGTTTTCAAGGGGAGCTCCTCTCAAACAGAAGGTGTGACCAAAGTCTGTCCTCCCACTTTTCTCCACGACTCCTTTTTATTTATGGCAAAAACTTG